AGACTCATAGAAGTAAATTTTTGAGATTTAGAAGTGGATTTTGTTAACTTTGGACCAAGTCAAACTGGCAGTGTCCTGTTTTCAATCTTTGTGCTAAGCTAAGTTAGCTGGCTGCTAGTGGTGGTAGCCTTATATTATCAGAGCTCTTTGTCTAACTCTTAAGAAAAAAGAAAAAAATGTCCCCAAATAATTAAATTTTCTATTAAATAAGCTCACTCCTAGAAAAAAACTACAAACAGTTTTGGGGTTTCTTATTGGGATATTTAAGGAGCTCATAAGTATGACTATATTACAGTATAGTAATGAAATCAAATATCACAGTTTGAAAACAACAGGCCATATCTGGCAAAGAGTGAAATGCCTTCATACACTCAGTCCCTTCTTTTCTCCACAGTTCTCTATCACACCACTGCTTTGGACAATGGTCAAAGAAAGGGAGGCACTGATGATGGGGCCCCAGTCATGACGTTACAACTGAGGGTAGTCGAAGCATCTGGTCCTGGGTGTGGAGGCCTGCTTCACCTCTCTCCATCAAGACTGGCTCCAGCAGTGAGTCAGGGCTCTTAATGAGGACCAGACTCCACACATCAGACTGAGGTCACCCTACAGGAATCTCTGGTGGTTGGTATGTGTACATGTGTCAGGAGAACAAGAGGAGGGAGGCACTGTAGGTGCATTGTGTATGAGACTGTGGGTGTGTACTGAGAAACCGGGAACTTGGGTTGAGATATTCAGTTCTTTGGTATGAGTAAAAAAGCTATGCCATGCTGCAAAAAACAAAAAAACAACTCAATGTTCATAAAGGGATTGCGAAAGATGGAACAGTGTGCAGGGGTGCTCTGATATTACGTAAGGGAGCAATGAAGCACAACACAGTGCGAGTAAATCATTAGAGTAGTTAGGAATAACTGAGACAGGAAAACAAACAGCATGGCATTTAACAATTTAAGATTCAGTTTTCCTGTTCCATTCCTTACATTAACACCAGGGAACTCTTGGAACAGCATGAATCTAAGTCACAGGAAGTTTCAAATGTCAACCTCTGCCTCTTGATGCCGACACATACTGAATGACATAGTCAAGGCAACTGCGGAAAGCCCGGTGAACTTATGTCCTCAACTCTGGGAAATACCCTCTGGCTATTCATGGGATCTGAGCCTAACTGCCAAGGCTCCATGCAAACCAAGCTCGCAGAATGCATTAAATGGAGAATTATCTTAAGGAAAGGTTTGTGTTTACTCAGATATTAATCACACTTAATAAACTTTCATTCTGGAAGTTAGGGGGGGCTGTGTCCAACTGCCCTGTGAATGCCTTCTAAGAAAGACTGCCCAAATGCATATTTCAACAACATCTATATATAAACTGCATCTCTCACTTTAACAGCAAGCTTTCTAGCTCACTTTTTGTTTGGATAAAAGCTACAAACATAATTCTGTATTCTGTATTCAAATAATAATCCATTACACCTGGGGCGGATGTGGCTCGAGGTAAAACAGCTTGTCTTCCAACATAGCGTCGTGGTTTGATTCCTGGCATCTCCAGTCCATATGTCGAAGTATCCCTGAGCAAGACACTGAACCCCCAGTTGCCCCCATTGATATCACTGGTGTGTGAGTATGTGAATGTCTGTGTCAGTGAATGGGCAAATGGGAAATAGTGTAAAGCGCTTTGCTGACTGAAGTTCTATTGTGATAAATGGCAGTAAAGCTTAATATATGCTCCAAAGGCAGCCAAGCTTCATAAGCTAAATTTGGATAAATATGACCTCATGTTGACTTGGTTTATCTCAGTGAGAGCCTAAGCAGTCCTATGATAATTTCCTTCTCACAACACAACCAGAGTTTGCCAGTAAACTCATCAATTATCAGTAAAACACCAACTCACCTGGCTCCTTGGCAGTAATGTCTTTCAAAACATGCTTGGGCATCGCAGACACCTGTGCCTGCAGCCTCTGCAAGGAATTCTGTAGTGTGATGATGTCTGCACCATAATTTCCAAAGGTAATATTCATCCTGGACATACAGTCATGCAGAACACCGATATGTCTGTCCAGTCCATCTTTCAGTTCTCTGATGTTAGTTGAAATCCCATCTAACCTTCCACACACCTTTTCAAGTCTGGTCACTCGTCCATCCACAGCAGAAATGCCATCAGAAACACCCTGGGTGTTCTGTTGACACTGACTCAGTTCAGATGACACCTGTTTACTGAGGGTATCCAGCCTGTTCTTCAGTTCCTCCATGTGGCCCCTGGTGTCATCACCCTCACTAACAGGTAATTCAATTACTGACTCCCACTTGTCCCGTGCTGGACTCCCAGTGCCACTCTGCTCTGCAAAGCAGCATGATGAATTTATTTTGTACATATCTTGGCTGTATTTGCTCAAAGAGTCACTTAATCCAGTAACAGCACCAGCCACACCAAGCACATTATCTTGAAAATGAATCAATCTTTTCTGGAAGTCGTCCATTGTCTTTCCATGTCTCTCAACTCCAACTGTTTGCCTTTTAACATGGTCCTGCAGTTGCTTGACCTTATCTGTGTTGGCCCCAACATCTCTGTAAAGAACGTCCAAGTCATTTCTATACTGACTCAGGTCCTTCAGAATGTCTTCTACAACTTTAGGTGTGGACAAAGAACTCACAGAACCTGCAGTAATTCCTGAGCCTGAACATCCAGAGCACAACTCTCCAACAGCACTGACCTTATCATCCAAACCTTGGAGGAGGAACTTATTGTTGTTTACTTCTGCCTGGATGGTATCCATGGAGTCACCAAACATCCCTGGGAAAGATTTGTTGCTCATTTCCATTAGCATGTTCGTAAACTGGTCCTCCATACTATTAAGACGCTCATCCAGAAGCTGCCGGAGCTTTGACACTTCTTCTGAAATTTACTATTAAGACGCTCATCCAGAAGCTGACGGAGCACTGACACTTCTTCTGAAATCGTACGAGTCAGCTTATCTTCAATGTAGAAACAGTGCGTTTCTGCATTTTGTTCTGTGATATTTATACGTGCCTCTATCTCCTCAGCCAGGAGTCTGAAATCACTGTCTTCCTGAGGAGCGGACAGGTGTGCCAGTTCATTGTCAATGCGAGCATTCAGGACGCGGTGAGCCTCTGCAATACGATCAATTTCACGCCATAGATCTTTCTGGTCACTGTGATCCTCTTCTTCTTTGGATGGAGCTGTCTGCCTTTGAGTTTGTACAGGTCCATCTGCAGCGGTCATGTGTAGATGTAGTGCCCGGATTTCCTTTCTCAGGTCAGCCTCCTTGATGTCCACCAGCTTAGACAGGCTGACCAAACCTTGGTCACGGCTGTCTTCACAGGTCTTCTGCAAGTTCTGGATCTTGTCATTGCAGAAGCTTAGTAGTTTGGTCATCTGTTCCTCCACATTCTGATCTAAATCTTTCTTTAGCTTCTCAAATTTTCCATCAATGTACGTTTGTATAACATCAAACTCTGCAATGGCTGGAGTCTGAGACTGAGAGGCATCCATCAGGACACGTATCTGTCCCTCGTGACTTGTCATGGTTCCTCTTAGGTCTTCCAAAGCTTCATCCTTACTTTTAAGTGCATTGTTGATATCATCCAACCGGGCTACTATTTTTTCTATTGCCTTGTCTCCAGCAGTCCCACCTCTGACAGCCTGATGACCATCCAGCACTACTGGGCTCTGCTCTGTGCCTGCGGACATAACACCGTCTGGTGGACGCATGTTGTTAAGAAGTGTCACCAGCATCTTCTTTGTGTCTTCCTGCAGGTTAGTATGGAGGTTGGCAGTTAATCCTGCCAAAGCAGATTGTAGATCCACGACTGTCTGAGAGAGGCGCTGAACTTCACCTTCCAGAAGACGCACCTTATCTGTCTCACCATTTCTTGTCTCATGGTGTCCTGTCTCTCTCCGCTCGGGCCCTGTAATCACAGAATAATTAGTGATTTTCATAAATAAATACAGACAGGTCTCTTTTTTATCAGCTAAATAGCACTGAAGTAGATTAATTTAGCTATAATTTGTTAATACATTCTAATGTAGTATATACTGACAAAAACACCAAAAGTAAGAAAATAGTGTTTTACTCTGTGTGTGTCTAGTTGACTGTCCAGGATTTGGTGGGATGTAAGGTTGTGTTCCCTGCACTGTTTGTTGATCTTGGGATGGTTTTAAATCTTTACAGTCTGGACCTTCATAGCTGGGACAGCATCTCCATTCTAACTCGGTGACTGACTTATAGTCAATCTTGTATGTGGGTCGAAACTGAGTATGGTATCTGTAAAACAAGGAACATGCTGTCAGTCAGTTTCTCAAACAAATATAAAAATGAAATTGAGCTGTTTTTCCAAGAATGAACCCAGAGACCATTTGCAAAGTACCACAAGTCATTCCTGTCTGTTATACTAAAGTTATTCTATAAATCCAAAAGAATAAACTGTCCCAATAACATATATTTTTATTGAGAACTGTTAACTCCTGCTGTCAGGAATGCTTTTGGACTTTCACTTTTCACTTTTCTGAGATTCTCTGTTACTCTGCTACATAAATTTCTGCTTTCTAGCCAAGGCAAACAGCTCCCAAAGAACCAATAGATGACATCACTTCCCTGAAGACGGGGTCATATCATGCAGAACATCTGGAAAGTTGATGTCTGAAACTATCATCTTTGCACATTTCTCAGTTGTTGCACTCAATGACAAGAGCTTGAGTAACAGAAAACAGAATCCTTTCGGGTAATAACACTTAATATTATGGCTGTAATCAACAATGTGTTCAATGTGTAAATCACATCCTAACATTCGATAATATGAAGCCAGTCGTATCATAACTTAAAAATGGAAAAACCTGAGGTGTCTACTCTCACTGCCAGCTCTTCATGCTTTACACAGTAACTTGAAAATGTGCTCCTTTAACCTAAGATTTATTGGTTTCCATGGACCTTTCATACAGCACAGTGGCTCCTTGCATGTGTCAGTTAGTTGCCTCACAACTAAAAATAAACGTTTCAAAAGAAAAATTGATTAAATTTCAAATGAACGTCTACCTACACAGAATTACTTACAACTGTTACCAATTATTGTGGATACACCCATTTACAGTAACTAGTTATTAAGGAACATAATGATTTGTTTATCTTAAACATTTCAGGTTCAGATGTGGGCTTAAATGAAATTTACTTGTGTTACTTGATCAAGATGTATTATCATATCAAAGAGAGAGGAAAGGAAGAAACTGCTAGTGGTGAGAAAAGCATGTGCTGCAGGAAGTACAAGATATACTGCACTGCATTGTTTAGCTGTCATATCTTCAAATATACACAAAAAACACATTTTTAATGCATTCATAAATATTTGGATCGTACGCATGAAATGCATTTTGAACTGCAATAGTAACTCTTGCGAAGTGTTTATCTACAGGGCCATTATTTTAGCACCATTAGTGAGGACAGCTCCTGAATCTGACGTGGATTAGATTCCTTTTAATGTGTTTTCCAAATGAATCGTTAGAACAGTCTTGTTATTTTTCCACAGTGATGATGAAAGCCAAGAGGACAAGAGGACATTGCGTAATGTTATACTGAGGGTCATAAACCTACTAATGACAAATCAACAGCCATCTGATAGTGTATAATAACGTGTTTGAACACTAGATAAAACCAGATGCACAAATATGCAGATTTATAAAGGCGGACACAAATCTGTTCTGTAGGTGTAAATAATTAGATTAATGCATGGAGCCAAAGAAACTCAGTTTTCTGGAGTATAGGTTTGACAAGTGGTACATCAAAAATGCAAAAGGAAACTCTGACCTTACTATAAATAAACATTCTAGGTAAACAACACAAATTAATTTTTTGTAAAATAATTAATGATCTTGGAAGGTCACCAGTCCTGTTTAGATATAACTACATTTATATTTGCTTTTATTCATCTGGCAGATATTCTTGTCTAAAGCAATATTCAAATAACATGCAGTTTCACAAATGAGGTATGTGTCGCTTCCAGTGAATCCTCAGCCCAAATCTAAGTGTTATACTGGCAGTCTGACTGAGATGTACGCAGACTCCCACCCAAGATATACAGTACTGGTGCTGTGGGCTCCGGCCACCAGTGACCCAGGACAGAACAAACTGGTATGGAGAGTGGATGGATGGACTCCAAACAGTGTGATCATAAATGTCTGAAAATCTAAATGCTTATCTTCTTTGAGACACCACACATTTGGTTTGCTGCCAAGAACAGTACACATTTTTACACATGATTCAGTCATCATACATCATACATCATACAGTCTTTTGGGTTGGACATATTGCAGGTATGTGGTCCTAGAGAAGACGTGTATGTTAGTCAGAAGCTATATAACCATGATTTATAGTTGGGTTGATGTGACATCCCAAGACTCAGGAGCAGATTCCTGTGAAAGTGAAGTAAGTGAAGTCTATTTCCCAGTGAATATGTTTCCATTTGCCTTTTTGGCGATGTTTTAATTTGCTAGAAAAGCTGTGCTTTTTGAGTTCTGCCAGTTTGATTTCTTCAGTCTCTGTGAACATTTCTGCCTACCAGTCTCTCTCAAAGAAACATTTTGCATCAGAACTCCAGTCTGTCTCATACATATAAACATGCACCCGCAACCCTTTCCCCTTGCTCCCCGGATGCTCACGTCACTTGCTGCTGGCAGTCGGGCTGGTAGGCTGGGCAGGGGGCCACCACGGGTTCCTGGAAGCTCTCCACACCCCCCTGCACGGCGCAGCTCACTCTTTTGTGCACCACATATGCGCACCAGTTCCTGGAGAGAGGCAGCGATAAACAAGAGCTTCGAGATATATACCAAAAACTGTGAGAAATATTTGAGAGGAACACTGTGCAAACACCACAGAAAACAGTTTTATTGGTTTGTAATTTGTCAATAAAGTGTCATTAGGTCCTTATGCTTTATGAACTCCCCCTTAAGAGTGCGTCATTTATGTGCTAGTCTGTTCCATTTCCCCATCTCTTGGAGATGAGACAGAAGGAGTAATCCCTGCCATTCCTGCGTTTATCGACATCTTATCACCTTTGGCTACAAACTCAAGCTAAATTTAGTCGCAGGCTGATAAAGGCATGGTGAATGTTAACATGCTACATACAGTATGACCTTAAGAAGCAAAAATCTTCACCGATCTGAGGTCAGTCCGATCAACAATGAGTTTAGAAGACATCATATTTTTTTACTGGTGACGGTGCAACAAAGGCGCACAGCTTTGACCCTGACGGTGAAAGTGGGATTAAAGATACGCGCATTTTGAACTACTCAGAAAAGTTTGATAGTTCGCCACGAAAGTAGAAAAACCCCATTACTTACCTGTTTCTGTGTCTGTGAACCACTCCAGTGTGTCCATAGTTTTGGAACAAGTCATAAAAGGAGGGAGACCCGTAAGTGAACTGAAAGTTCAAGAACAGTGTGAAAACTAACCACCGCCAGTCCATCTCTCCATTCCTGTACTTCATACTTAATAAATGCTTTAAAATAAATATTCCTAACTTCGAGGGTTACTCTGTTGTTAATATGCGCCACGGATCCAAGCCCCAACGTCACATTAACCCAGTGATTTGCTCAACTCCAATAACTCAAGTTTGGGGAAGTCCACATGCACCGCAGCTCCCTTGGAATGACGATAAGGGCCAACACCCTCCTCCCAAAAACTCAAATTAGGAAAAAACAATTCCTCCGCATTTAACGGTTTACAGCCTAATAGAGGTTTTAGTTAGTGTCCCCCCCCCCTTTAATTAAGTTATTCTTTTAAGTCTTAGGAAACACAGTCGTTAATCAAAGTAAGGGGATGTTGCCACTAAAAAGGATTTGGGATACAACTCAATTAGGTCTTTGTCAGCCAACAGCCTCTCATTCACACCTCAGTGTGAACACAGCAGGATGATATCGTTTGAATGCAACCTTCAGTTTTAAAAGAGATGTTGTTGTTAATGAAAATCATCACCAGGGATAATAGTAGTAATTTGCATTCTGTCTGCCCTATGGGGGGGGATATTTAATGTACAGTCTGTTCATTTATCTGGCGACAGAGCAAATTCAGTTTTTAAAACCAAACCGAGCAATTTGCTGAGCAATATCTTAATGTGGATGGAGACAGAAGGCAGCACATTCGTTACACAAGAGCTTCAATTCACGGCACTCAAGGCAGGAATTCATTGTCAGTGCTTGGCGCTGTGTGAAAGCGTGAGCATCAGGAGAGTTTGCATTCACACTGTGGTGCTCAAAAAGTATTTTTGAGAGATGGCCTTAAGCAATTTTCCCCAGCTTCCCAGGGCACTGTCGGCTGGCATGCTGCATGACTTTTTTCAGATCAGACAGATGCTGTCAGTTAACATAAGAGATATTATGGGAGGAAAGAAAAATCGAAAGGGAGAGACAGAAACCAGGGGACTTAAAATAAAGACAGAGCGAGAATGAATGAACTGCGTGTGGTATAATGATTCAAAGGGATGATGCAAAGCTTGATGGGAAGAAAGGACGTATGAACACGCACGTGTACACACACATGCTCAACCAGAAGTACCTTTTACCACCTCAGAAGCTTTTCCCCTGAACTGCTGTCAGACAACATATAGTCCTTCCCAAAATAGGATTGCACTGTTTTGTCAGGCAGTGTGCAGGAGGTCAGCCAAGTGAGACAGGCTCCAGTAGGTTATGTAATTGGATAATGTCTGTAGCGATATGGCTTTCTAGTGCTTTATTTACACGAGCAAGTGTCAAACAAAACTGACATGATTCCCTTCACTTACACAGTCCTTTAATGGGGTTATCAATCATTTTATCCCTTCGTTCATTTCCACTTACTTACTATATTTACACGTAGATCTATCCCACATCATACATTCAGCAGGCTCGACATCCAGGCGATTCAGAGAGGAAGCAAATATGTTGTTAATGGACTTCATTTGACCGTTTTTGGTTGTTTCTTAAGTCTCCAGAAGAGGGCAGCACAGCAACAGTAAAATGAAGCAAAAAGTCCTTGTAGTCATGGCAATTTCTTTCCAAAAGTGTTAAAGTGAGAAAAGGACATTTCATTACTGAGACAGTAAGGGTGCCTGAATTTCTCCAGTTCCATCACCTTACCATTCTGTGCTTATGTCAAATGTCTGTGTTAGGCACTCTGATTTGACCATCCCTTATTTATTGCCATAGGTTTGACTAGAACCATGTTATCTCACAGAATAAGTCATCATTCTGTTACATGTTATTTGTTACTGTAGCCATTAAGACTTACAGGGTATTGTCACTAGTTGATAACGGTATTCAGAAAATCACAGATGCAATGCAACTGATTCTCACTGCTCTATCTGAGCCCTCAGTCTTTACTTACTGCATCTATTTTCCATGATGACATTATCAAGGCACACACCTCAGACTAATGTGTTGCGCTCAGGTTCAAAATATTCATTAACTTTATATATGCCCTGACATTCACATGGAACGGGAGGTAAGATGAGTCACGACTGAAGGAAAATACCAGGCCATGTATTTCAGTTAAGCCAAAATAAATAAATAAATAAAACATAAATCCAGGGGGCAATTCCTTGTTTCACCTCTTAGATCGATTTCTTAATTTTTGTCTGTGCAGAAGTTGGAGGGCTGATTGGAATTGGACTAGCCTGCACTGAACCCTGAGTGGATCATTTGCAGCATACAATGCATTTGTCACTGAGACATGCATTTTGCAAAACCACCCCTCACCAAGACTGCTTTTGAATCTTTTAAATTCACTATGCTTCCACTGAGGCACTGACCTTCATCTTTATGTTGACTTATAATAAATGCGCCTGTGCACCTGGGGGCGGGTGTTCTAGGCTGCTACTGAGGAAACACAAAGTCATTTTTTCTTAGAAAGGACTAGTTTTGTACTGTGTTGCAGAGTCAGTACAGCACATACAATAGACTGTATGTAAGTCTTGGAACACTGCTTCATATCATGTAGATCAAAAGAAATTCACCCTGATTTAAATGTCTGTGTAGCTGCACTCTGGATTTTGTGGGCATTGTGGCTTCCTAACAGCGGATGTGTCCTTGTAAACAACACTGGCTTTTTGTGTCACTCAGGGAGAGAGAGCAGTGCTGCAGAGTTTGCTTTCATTTGGCAAGGAACAACTATCCACCATGCGCATTACACCATGATACTGCTGCACTTACACCGGGTGACTCAGTGGGAGAGCCAAGACCTGCGCACGGTGCCTACACAGGTGCTTTTCAAAGTGGGGTCAAGGGGCTGCCTAAGGGTGCTGTGGTGGGATTGTTACTTCACTATCACTTTTCTCTTCTTTCCCTCAACACAGTGAAACAGAGACTTGGTGTTTTGATCACATATCTCAACTTATTTACCCACTGCAAAATATTTTTGAGCTATAGTGAAATCAAAAATATTCTTAATCTGAAGCCCTGGGCTCTATTTGATGTCCACTGACATCAGAGCTCTGTTCATCATGAGAGGATGCTTGAGTTTTGTCCCTTTTAGATACATACATGCATTTTATGCCACAGTGAGGTAGTTGAGGTCTCATCACATGCTGTGCCACCCACTCTCAGAGACTTTGGTGTTAGAAATAAGGGAAGCAGAAATGATGATGCCTCAGAGAATCAACCCTACCAAATTGTCTTCTGCTATTGTTTCAGATTAATCCCTTTTGTCTCCACATCTCTTCACTCCCTTCACCTTCGTTTTGCCTCCCAGAGAAAAAGACTTGAGACCGACCTATATCACTGGCACTTTGTTATAGTCGAATGACTGACTGTAGCACCCTAATTAGTCGACCTTTCCATTATGTGTGACACTTGCATTTTAGTCTGATTTACCTTTTTAGATTATTAATTGGCATAGCACTGATAACAATCTCTCCTGGAGCAGGCTGTACGCTGTATTTTTCTTGTTTTGCTGAGGAAAAAAAGCATAATGGATATGATTCACTACAATGCTATGATCAGAACATAAGATTCAGAGAAAGTTCAAACATATGTCATGGTCAGACACAGACTTGGAGAGAAATGTAGCTGTCTGTTGTGGATCTACATGGATAACGCACCCACACACAGTCTCCCCCAACTCTCTCACACATGGACATACACATGAGCAGACACACAGCAGATTAGGAAATCTGATTTATTGGTTGTAAAATGTTAATATAGCTGTAAGCCATGCTCATGAATCGTTAATTAAGGCTGTGACATACTCTTCACCTAAAATGTTAATGAGGTGAGATTGCGTCAGGGCAAAGAGGTCTCCGCGAGCTACTGGGCAAATACAACAAATGAGCTGAATCCACAAGACCCCTGCACATGATAATAAGAAATGCTGAGGGAACCTAAGATGGGTTGTGGCCATTTAGCTATGCAGTAATTAAATTAATTAATGGTGGTGTGTAAATGAATCGTTGTGATAGTGAAAGGAAATGATAAATTTAATCCATTTTTACCCTCACACAGCCTATATCTGTAGTCTTGTTCAAACAGATTCATCACCGGTGGAACAAGTATTCAGTTATTTTTATCTCTGTATCTAAGATAAGCTATAGACGTCTGTGCTTAAAATACTACCGGACTGGAATAAGCTACTCTACTGTAAAGGTATAAGATAAAAGTGCATGATAATAATTCTTCAGCAGTGGCAGAGAGGTTGTATACACTGATCATTAGTGGGAGGAAAAGCCTCCTCCTGTAGCTAACTGTAAAGCCACGAGAGGAGTGGGAAGTATTGTCAGTCATGCTCTGTAGCTTGAGCAGCACCCGTCTCTGACACCTACACCAAAAAAAAAAAAAAACCGGCTTCCACCTCCATTCATCCACTTTAATGGTGATGGTACTAATGATATTAAAGATATTTGCCATTCATGCTCTTTAGCTGGAGCAGCCCCCGTCTCTGACACCTACACCAAAAAAAAAAAACCGGCTTCCACCTCCATTCATCCACTTTAATGGTGATGGTACTAATGATATTAAAGATATATAATACTAATGACTTTCTTCATAACAGGAAACCTTAATAACATGAATGACATTAACAGTGGCTGGTTTCTATGCAGGTGTGGCAGTGAGCAGCACAGACAAGCCAGTTAATTGTTGATATGTAGTTTATTAATGAATTGCCTTATTTTTTAAAAATCCTCATAATATGTAAAACATGTCAAGTGAGTTAGCTGTAAAGTACTCTGAAATCAGATGAAGTGGGTGTGTAAAGTTGTACTTAAGTGCTCAAAAACAATACTTTTGTTATAGTTATTTTGCATATCAAAGTAATATTTATTAGAACAAAGTGGACTGAATGTACAGGTTTGGAGATAAATGGAGTGGCACTGCAAGGAGAACACAGCCTGTGCCCTAAATTCCAGAAATAGTAATTGTATACAGGATAATATATCTTATATAGCATTTTTTGCAGTTATAAGACATCAACATAGCTACTATTTACTAGCAGTACACTAAGTAACTGTGATTTTAGTATGGTACTGTCAATTAAATAGATAAGTAAGAGATTACAGAATGCATGTAAAAAGAAGAATGCGTTATACAAGGATTTCATAAAAGACAGATCAAAGAAGACGGAAGTAAAATATAAGACGTACAAGAACAAATTAA